TCAGCTCCTGCTCTGCAGGCAGGCAGATAGAGACCAACCTTATACCACACGTGCAAGGCTCCAGCATACTGAGAGGGCCCTGGAATTGCACAGGTCCACTAGGCTTTCCACCATATTCATGTCTGCCATTAAATCAAATGGAAATACTGTCTGAATGGCCTCCCCACAAGCTCGGCATGTTATTTACAAGACATGCTTGCTTCCAGAGCTAGGTGATCAGACCTTCTGGGTACAATTGCCCTCTGTGCATGAGCATGTGTAGGCAGGGATCTTTATCTTTTATCTCATTTCTTCTGCTTGGCAAGTGAGGGTTGCCTTTGACAGAACTGGGAAACTCAACCCTTTCTTCAGCCTCCTAATGCTGTGGCTAAGGCACCCAAGAAATCTGGGAGAAATGTGAAGAAGGCAGCATTGGCCATGCCAGCTCTGTGTCTCAGGAAGGTCTGCACTCAGGGTGTCTTCCTGTCAGTGCCTACACTGCAGTTCCTCAACCTGTGATGACTCTGCCACAATGAGGTGGAACTTGCTGCCTCTTCTATGCACTAGCTTCAGTGGAAACAGATGAGGTAAGAAGACCTGACTGAGTCTGCCCAAGTTATTTCAGAGGATGCAGTCTCTGTAACACTGCTCAGGCTCTTCAGCTGCTGCCTGCAGCCTGTTTGTCACTTTAATGCATTTTGATCCTGAGTAAGAAGCACTGCAACAAATTTGGGATGTTAGGTGTGAGCTTGTCTGTTCTCAGCTTAGAAGGTCCTGATCCCTTTATCAAAAGAAATTTACAGGGCAGCGGGAAAAGGTTCAGGGATGGACAACAAAGATGATCAAAGTTACAGAAAGACTGTATGACAGATGTCTAAGCTAGGACTTTTTCATTTGGAAAGGAGATGATGGAGGAGGAGGTGATGGATTTACAAAAACATCTTGAGTGACATGGAGAGAATGAGTAGATTAATTTTTCACTCTTTTTCAGTAAAAGAGGTGGGAGGCTTCAGATGAAGCTAATAAAATAGTAGGGTTCCAAACAAAACATCTCAGGCAGCTGACCTGTGGATCTCCTTTCTGAAGAATGGTGTGTATGCTGAAGTTTTATATGGGTTCAGGGAAAGACTGGAGTATAATGAATGAGAGGTAGAAACAACAGCATCATCAAGAAGTTCCTGTCCTGAACCGGCTGGAAACTAGGAGAGTGTTACAGGGAGTTTGCATTCGGCATCCACTCTAGGCCATAGTGGGAAGCAGGGTAGGGGCTAGAAGGACCTTCAATCTGGTATTTTACAGATTCTCTTCTGTTCTTCACTCCATTGAAAAGTCTGTAAAGCTGTAGAAACTAAAGATAGGACTTAACTGTCGAAACCAAAGGCTCCAATCACCTATCTCCCCAGTCATCAGTGGAACAGAGGGCACATTGCCCACCCTAAGGTAGGTATCCAAGAGGATGGTTGAATCGCCATCTCCTCTTACTTCTGAATTCCCAGAGACTCTGGAAAGCTGCTTAGGGCTGGATGAGCACTTTCTGGATAAATTTGGTTAATCTTACTTCAAAGAAACCCGTCCAATTAAATCAGGTCTTAGCAGCAGGTTTAAGGCCTTTAACTGCGAGGTTGTAAATGCACACTGTGTTAAGGCTAATTTGTCAGATATGTGCTCCAAAAAAAAGCTCCTAAGCATGGCTGGGAATTTCTCTTTTCAAAGTTCAGAGGACTGCAGTAACAAAACCAGTCAAGCTCTACCTGGGGACTGCGGAATCTGGATTGCTCACATCTCATTATGTATTTAGACAATGCATCAGAAACTAATTAAAAGGAAGGTGACTGATAGCTGATAGACGCAGATTGCTGGCTTGTATTGTACTGTCCGGAAACACTGCATGTCCATTCCCAGCTGTTCTAGCATGGGGTATCACCAGCTGTCTCATCAAACCTCATCAGTAAATAAGGACACAGAAATCTTCCACATTATCCTGCCACAAGAAAACAACCACAACTGACAAGACCCCAACAAAAGAGAAAATCTGGAAAGCTACGTTTTTTTCATTCCTCTGATTACATTTTACTTTCCAGGAGGCAGATGTAAACACAGTCCAAGCTCATTCTAGCTTTGTAATCACCAGCCTTTGTTTTTATAAATGTATCTAAACTGCTAACTTCGTTTGCACAGCATTTGAATTACTCAGAAAATTCTTTCTCATCCAGACTTCTAATATGCAGCGTGACGGACCTTGGCACTGGTAAAGCGGCATACCCTGTCTCCATTCTGTAGATGCTTCTGTAGATGTGTTAAACATTTCAGAATAGCTTTCCAAAGCAAACAAATATTGCTGAATTTTATATACTTATTAATTAAAGCAAAAGCCTTGAAAATTTTTACTGCAAGTTTGTGTTTTGGTTCTGTCTTTTACAAGAGATTGTGACATTCAAGATGTAAAATAAAATTTGTCCCAGAATTTAGATTTCATAGAGACAAGACTTTGTAAAATGCAAGGTTAGCAAAAAATAGCCCTATTCTGTTTTCTTTTCCTAAATTTGACTGCATTTAATTGTTTAAATGTATCTTAAAAACAAAAGGATACTATATTTGATTCTAGATACAAAACTGGCTGGAAATGTGTTACTATAAAATGCAGAAGTGAGGAATCTGCTTGCATCAGCTTGCCTGAGACACAGCTGCAAATCTTAAAATTATACTTTCATTATCTTTGAATTTTATAAATGTCAGATGTTATTTGATAATTAGGTATGGAAAATAATAATAAAATCTCTGTATGCCAATGCTTCTGGGTCTCATAGCGTCATAAACTGGAGTAATGCCACTGAACATATTTAATGCCATTGATACAGATTTTGTGGAATGGTAGAGTCAGAAATAAGACTTTTTTATTTGCTCTCTTTAACCTGGCCAGATTTTTACCTGCCACGGTCTATGTTGTGCATGCAAAGATCAGTGCTTTTTGTCTAGAGAATAAGAAGTAAAATTATGCTCAGGTAAAAGGAGCTCTGAACACGTTCAAAGGCCACACAGTGTGGGAGAAACTCATCATTTCAGCCAGTGTGGGTGGCTGAATACTCCGAATATTTTTATGGAGCTTTTAAAAAGATGAACTGACAGCATCTTAGCTTACCTACTACCCTGAATGCTATTTCATGCTGTCCTTGAGCAAGGCTGCCTGGGGGAGGTAAGGCTTGTTGAATGACTCAGACCTAGCAGTATTTAGATACCTACCTCCCCTTCACTTCAGTTAAAATTAGGCACAGAAATGCCTTTGTGGCTTTGGACCTGGTGAGCAGTGAGATATGGCAGGGAATCAAAGTGACCTGTAGGAACAGTGCAGAGGCTGAGCAGCTGCAGAGGGTGCTTTGTAACTAAAGGGAAGGCGGATGTACAAAAGGAATTGCCTCTGGCTGCACTGTGGCCATCCTCCCTCTGTGCAGGAGCCTGTGCTCACCTGAAGTTGATGCTGACTTTCTAGGGCAGATGGGAATTACAGCTGACCAAATAACTTGTGCTTTTCTTAGAAGCTTTTCTGGAAGTCTTCTGCAAATTTGTGGCATGGCACTTTTCAGGAATATGAAAGAAGTGATGCTGTGAGCATCCAGACAAGGGTTGGACAGCGTACAAAGAGAGTTTCCAAGAAAGCTAGCTAATGTCAACAAATATAGGTCAGATACACATAATTATTTATCTGCTCTGGCCTTGCTAACAGTAAGCCAGCTGCAAACATACGCAGATGACATGCTGAGTCTGCTTCAAAGGCTTTTTACAGTTCCTTAACTTGGACCCAGGCAGGGCAAGGTGGGCACCAGGACAGACACAGAAATCTCCTTTGGACAACCACTTCTTAGCCTGGTACTTGCACCTCGATCACTTCCTTTCAGAAAAGGAGAGCTGTTATTAATTAGCTGGTTCCATTGCTGATATAATTAAGAAGCTAGGCTATGTGTCTTGTATGATTACATTTAATTTTCAAGCCTAAAACAAGGAAGAGAAGCTGCGGGGAGGAGAAGGTAGACATAGGCTTTAGCTGGAATAATCTGTGGGGCTGGGCAATTTAGCTAGAGGACTGTAAAATATCCGGAGGAAGGATAGGGAAGCTGCTTATGCTCAGCAGCTGTTTCAGACAATGTACAGGAAGTGTGCGTGAGGAGCAGGCTGTCCTGCAGCCCTCGCACGGTCACCATCCAAGAGCCTCACTGGAGGATGAGGAACAGGTGAAGGCACATAGAGCAGGTAAAGGCTGGCCTACGAAAGCAGGAGCTGAGCAACATGGGAATGAGAGGCATGTCCACTGTGAGGGCTATGCCCCTTTTAAACCTGCTCAGAAACTGCAGTCTTACTTTCCAAACTTTCTGAAGGTTTGTCAAGGGCCTTTCGAGGCAGTACCATGCACCCAGGCTCATATATGCTGTTCATGACCTATGAATCAGCACTGACATGTTTTAGGCTTGTTGGATTTTCTTTTTCCAGACAGATGAAAGATCCCTCACAAACATCTTTCAGCTGGACTCCCAGTATATATTCCACACTGGATACAGCTACAGATTTCTTATCTTACCAGAAACAGAGGTGCCACAAGGGTTGTGTACAAAGACAGGTAGCAAATAGGGCTGATACTTCTGGATTGCAAATCCCAAACAAATGTAATCACAAGTATCTGTTGAATTTGGAGCCATCTAAAAATGACAACTGAACTCAGCTTAAGTATATACATAAATAAAAACCAAGTAAGTCTTTATAAGAAAATATTGCTGTGCATGTATAAAACACTTCCTGGGATTGTGATGTTTCCAAAGTGCTGTTGAGTTGAAAGCTGTTTTTCATTCAACAGCTACAGCTGTGACTCCAGCTGTCCCACCTAAATGTTATGCTACTTGTTTCAGGAAGCCTCTCACTTCAGGACTGACCTTTTTAAGGGATTCACAGTAACATCCCCCTCTTTTGTGCTTCATTATATATATGAGGATGAGCTGAGGGTGGTGGCCAGATCATAAATTGCTAGCAGGTGGTAAATTGATAGATAACCTGCTCATTAGTTGAAAGACTGGTAAGTAAAGGAAGGAAGATAGGACTGTGGAGGATATGGGCTTGGAGTGTAAAGTCTTGTTAGGGCAAGATGATGAGAGCTCTTGTGGAATATGTTGGCTGTAAGTTTTTCTTCCTTAGCTCTTTATACACATGACCTTTTGTGCTTAAGAGTGCATAAATAGGTTGCTGACCTTGTATATATCCCTGGGGGGATTGCACTATTCTCATCTTAAAATGCATAGCAATGCTGTTTGCTACTGAGGCTAAAATCCCAAAACTCTTTCTTGGGAAAGCAAGGGGTGGGTGTTCTTTGATTAATGCTGACTCTCAGTGTGGCTTGAGATGCAGTTTGAGATGTAAGGCTATGCAGTTGTACAGCAGTGCCACCTTCCACCTAAATAAGTTTCTCCTCCTTGTTGAAGAAGCTATTACCTTTAGTAAGACTCCAGGGTGCACTGGGACTGATCCTACTTTCCCAAACATGATCAAAACATTGTACATGGTTGTTACCTTTGACTTTTAGTAAAATCCCTGTGGAGAAATGTTGCAGTTTGCGGCAGTATCTTTTAGGCTATGAATTCTCAAGACAGTAAATGCTTTCCAATACGTGCATGGTTGGTGGAAGCTACTCCTCTGCCCTAGGTTAGCCAGAGCTCACATTTAATGCTTATCAAGATATAGTTTTTGAAAACTGGCCCCTGTGAGAAATATTTTTAATGAGCTGGATTTTCCTGAAAAGAAGTTGGTGCAAATTAGTTAATTTAATTACTTCAACTTAAACAAGCAGTCCTCCTGTATCGTCACTGAGGACTTTTCTCTTGTTTAAGACCATTTCTGGCAGAAATAGGAGGACTTGAAAATACTTCTGGTCAGGCAGGGCTGGCAATCAATGTGAAATTATATGTGTGCTGGCTGGTATAGGAGTGAGATTGGTCTCTTGTCATGGTTTTTGGCAACACCAGATATACACACAAAAGAGACAACACTGGAGCCAGGCACAGACTTATGGATCCCCTGTGGCTGTCTCCACACCTATGAAAAGAAAATAAATGATACTGGTGATGACGCACCAACTTTAGGCACTGTTCCAGCCGCTGTACCCAGAGGATCCAAGGGAGATAAGAGTTAAGTATGTGCTTCAGGAAACAGAAGAGCAAACACACAAAGTATGTTAAGCCCAGGCAGCCAATCTGTGAGGATGCAAGCCTACAGCAGATATGCCAGGGCTTTCACTGTTTGTTCTGCAGTAGGAGATTAATATGGACTTCAACATATTGTCTGCAATACAAGGCTGGCTGCCTCTTTCTGCGAGGTTCCCTGCTGCGGTGAGTGTAGCCTAGAGGATTTCATACCATCTGCAAAGGACAATTGTAAAACAGTCTAAGACACAGAAAACTATTCATGTAGCTATTGAAGCATTATTATGTGACAGCAAACACTCTTTTTTTCTTTTTCCTTGTAGAGTTGTGAAGTCTGTGTGTCAATGGCTCACTAGAGGAGGCAATGCTCGCTCCTAAGCAAGTGATTTTGAAGGCCTATCACTATAATCTTTTGGCAATATTCACACTGTAGCTATGCGGTAAGTTACTTCAATGCTGCAGGCAGCTGTATTCCAAATTCTCTGGGCCTAGAGACATTGCAATCATTTGGTAATATATTAATGTAAATTAAAAAATACTTCTGAATATCTGTGCCTGGCAAACACCATTGGTCAGGTGAGAGAGAAGTGGGACTGAGGGCTTGCAACAGCAAACTTTCTGACAGTATCCTTGTGTCATTCAGTAAAGGATCACTGTATTACAGGGTAGCTACTGTTTGTTTTCACTACTAGTGACTACTTGCTAGCGATGTACAACATCATCTTAAGTCCCTTCAGAGACCTTTAAGGGAGCTGCAGTTTGGAGGGAAGCTTTATTTGGGGGGGAGGGAGGAGTTTTTTTTTGTTTTGCTTTCATTATAACATTAAAACAATGGAGGGAACTAGAAGAGAAGAAGCCAAAAAAATAGACAAGCTTTCTGGATCATCCAAGTTCATCTTCAGCTCAAAATTAGAAACAGATGAAGGATGGGGTGAGAACTATTGCTTTGAGGAGGAAAGGACAGAAAAGAGTTTCCAACTTATTCTGAAGTTTGCCAGTCACTTTCTCAATAGGGGATCTTTCCTTAAAAATCTGGATTACATTGTGGGGCCACCCTCTAAACCAAAATACTTGTAGTGGTACAGCCTGTGCTATAAAGGTGGAAATAACAGTATATAGGAGCGATAGGAATAAATCCTTAATAGCAAAGCAGGTGGGGTCTTTTCCAGGTTGTATTAAGCCCCCTTCTGAAGAATGTCTCCTTGTATCTGTATCTCTTGGTGAAAATATCAGTGTAAGAATTTCCTGCTCTCTTCCCATCCAGTGCCCTATTCAGCCCTACATTGGCTGGGATGCACAGCTCTTTAGGAGCCAGTGGGAAACTATTCCAGTGAATCAAAAATGCCTGCTAAAAACCCCAATAAGCCAGCCCTGTGCCTGAGCTAATTGGACCTATCTATGTTAGCAAGGTCATGCTTCTTCCAGTGGAACTTGCACATACCTCCCCAACCTGGACCTATCATGGGGTCCCATCATGTGCTGAAGATGAGCCTGGTTTGTCTCATGTTCTGGCTACATCTTTGAGTAGCAGAATCCTGACTGGCTTTGTAAGATCAGGCCTGTAATTATTAAAGACACACTGAATTATCCTGTGTTCCTGTGCTTAAGAGTTCTCCTGACAGGACGACTACTTAGAGCATCATATACTTAAAACTTGGGTAAGTAGGAGGGACATATGAGGATGGATTACCTGTAAATACATACGCAATCCTAGTATTGGCAGCCTTGTAGATGCACATTTCCATAAGGCATGCCTATTGCTGGGAGTCATAACTAGCCCATGAAAATAGACAATCACAGCAGCAGGCAGTGATCTGGTAGTCTGTATAGATTTCTTCTTCCTCTTCTTCCCACCACCCCCCCCCCCCCCCCCTTAGGTTTCCTCTAAGTAAAATATACATCCATAGTCATTTTTTGCTGTTTTTATGAACAGTTCATGTTTCAGTTGTCTTAATTTTTTTTTTGTTCATAACTTGCATTTTGAGTAGATCTCACCATTTTTTATAATGAGATCTACAAAAGCTCAGTACCATTAAAAATACAATGTCTGCAGAGAAAAGCCTCGATATGAAGTTTGCTCAGGGTATTTCAAAGAAAACATAGTTATTGCAATAACTGTTGAACTGAAATACTTCACATGTGGGAAAGCTTAGTTGAAGAAAGGACTGTTCATACATATAAAGATAGGATATCTATAAAAATAGGCATATAACTTGACCATTTAAACTCTTCAGCATGAATTTAATGAGACTCATTTCATTTTCCCAGTATTTCATCTGCAGATTTACAGGCACAAACTCTAGGAGAGAGATACAGTTTAAGTGTTCTATCCTGCTTCATCTAGCCTTTTAAAAAGGCTCACATCAATGAGGTTATCTTTTGGGAGGGCACATCTTCATATGGTGGGAATGGTTTGTTTCCTTTTAAAGTATTTTTCTATTATGGTCCTATGCTTTAGAGAAGTGCCTTAAAAGTATACTGTTGGCAGTACATTGCTGGCTTTCTCAGTATATTGTTAGCTTATCAAGGCTGGAACTTGCTAGACAAATTCTGTTGTAATGTATGCCAGTATCATGCCTCTGAGCCTTTTAAATGCACTGTAACTTAATGCTGACTATCAATAGTATAGTAGCTCCAGTACTGGGAATTTAAATGCTGGAAGATTTGGCATGTTTACTGGGTGCATTAGAAAGTTATGAGGAGTTATATGCCAGAACTTTTATTTTTTTTCCTCAAGTTTAGGTTTTATTTTAAGAAGTCTATATTGACTTCATGCTGAGGTCTATGTTCACACAAATCAGTATGTGAAGAGCTTCGTCCCGTGTGGCAGCCCTCAGCAGCTTTCCTGCTCCAAGATAAGATTTGTGGCTGTGTGGGTGCATTATCCTGCTTAAGAGCTGCCCTTACCCGCATGTAGATGAGCAACCATTGCTCTCCAATGCCACTTTGGCTTGGGATGCTGAAATGGGGCTGAGCAGGGATCTTAGCCCAGGAGCAGGTGGTTAGACTCAGTTCTGTGGCATTATAGAGGTAAGGGAGTGCAAAGGTGGGGCTGGCTGCTGCTGCTGGTAAAGTATTCTGCTGAGGCATCACTTAAGTGCAGGATTTCCAAGCCTATGTGTCCAGCACAGTGGGATGCTAATAGAGCCTAAGATGCTATTAAACTTACTGAATGGATCAACATGTTTCTACATTACAGCCATGCTAGAATCCTGTAAGCCACAGCCCTAAGTAGCACAGTTTGAATGTTTCATACCTTTCTGGGTTTACTTTAGGCTGAGTTTTCTTACCTGCCTCCAGCTGGGTCACATAAATGTAAACAGATCAGTCTGTCTCTAAGTATATGATTCCACAAAACTGGAATAGCCAATTCAGTCCAGAACACCATCTGCAGAAATGAAGATTTTAACACTCACAATAGGTTGATCAATCCTATACTGCTATGCTGCTTCTGTTTCCTCTTTCCTGTTTTTCATGGGTAAGCAGATCACTTTCTGAAACAAAGTCTAACTTGTTGAATAGATTTTGACATTCACATAATACTTTTGAGCAGATCCCAGTTTTAAAACAAAAAAAATAGTCTATTCCAAAGTAATGCAGGTATTCACAAGGTTGTTTCACCAAAAGTCAGTGTGATTGAAGACTTGCATTTTAAGAAATGGTATTTGTAAAATAATTTAGGTTCTTCAAAACCTCATCCTTGGACTTTCTTGTTAATTTTGTCCCAGAAGATTCCTAATAAACTGAGGACCACAAGTACTCGTAGAATGTACTTTTCAAGAGTTATACCTATGTGCCAGACACCTAGGCAGATTGCTGCCAGAGATACACAGCTAAAGTGAAACTGGCTACAACTGTCATAAAACCCAGCTGTGCTGTGGCTCACAGGACTGCTGGTTATGTTCAGATTTCCTGTAGTTTGGTCAGGTACCTGGCATCAGTGATTCAGGTGCTCAGCACCTGGAATAGGGAGAAAGAGCAAGTTTGGGGTTAGGAAGCTTCTGGAGGACCTGATGCTTGATGGTGGAGCAAGTACTAACTTCTGTGCTTTTCAGGTTTGTCTTTCAGGCAGCTGTAGGGTTCAAGGAGCTTGTGAAGAGAAGCAGCAGACTGGTTCTGCCTCTTACTGGGAACGGTATGGGAAGAATAAAATATCTATGGTCCCTATACATAGAGGTCTGCAGCCATAATCTTACTGTGGTGAAACTCACTGAAACAATTAAACTTATTGAAGGCAGATATACACCTGCTGAATGCTGAGCCCCTGCCTTCAGGCAATAGGATCACACTCTTCTGGATGGCTGTTGCTTTCTACTTACTCTTAAATAGCTCTTAATTCCTCTTCTGGGTAATGTATGACTAAGATGAGTGGGATGTCCAATTACTGCTTGGAGCACAGTTAAAATCATCTTCCCACTGCCTTACTTTGAATCTTGCTTCTTCCTCTGCTTCATCTAAAATGTCCACTCCCTATGCTTCAGGGCCTCTGCTATTCAGGCATACTGTATGTATCAAATCTCTTCTGAAGGCCAACATGTCCATAGCCTTTGCTCAGCCATTAGTGACAGGATACCATTTGTTTCTCTCACCCTGCTGCTGTTCCTTTCTTCAGTGCTGCCTTTTATAAAAATAACAAACTTCCTGACTTTTCCCGGAGAAATCTGCAGCCTGCTGTGTTTTTCTATAGTTAGCTCGAAGCACTCAGTGGGGTCCGAGTTCCATGTTTTGTGTTTGGTTTTTTTCTGGTCACTCAGTACAGTGAGATTTATATACAAATTGGGGTATTAAAAAGATGCTGCGTAACTTCTTGACTGTAGAATGATTAACTTTCTAGTGTCCTCAGTAATATCATCCAAAACAAGGAAACTCGGATGTTGCTTTTGGGTAAAAACAAGTCTATATTGTTCTCTGTTTAACATAGCTGCTTGTATCTGAGCCAAAATGTGATGGCTGGCACTTAAAATGCCTCCATACTTCTGAGGCCAGAAGTTGTGACCCTTCCTGTTACTAGTGGGAGTGCACAGGCAATTTGAACATGGCTTCAGAAGCTACTTGGAGTTACCCCATCACCTTCCCCAAGTGTGTTGGGGTGGAAATACAACATCATGATATGGTGATAACAAACCAAAAAATGTGCTAGGCTTTGTATTGTCTTGTGGGTTTTTTTTCCCTTACTCCTTCCATTCATCCTTGTCTGAAAGCAGGGTTTTTACTGGTGACACTGTGAGAATTGTATGTGTTGCATTTAGCTGTAGGTGAGATGTGAGGATTTGGGGAACTACTTCATGTCTTTTAGAAGACAGTGTTGGCATGCAAACTTACAGACTGGAGGTCTCTGAATCTTAATGCTGCATCCCACCAGCTCAATCAAGATGTTTGTCTGCTAATAGACTTTTGTATGGTGTAAAATATTCAATTATATTTTTATTTAGCCACTGCAGCCAGACTGTAATACCATCATTCACACTGTGCACATCCCTTGGTTTGTGCATCAGAAGTCACTAAAACACCTCTTTCCCAGTTGAGATTCCCTTAAAATCTGTTCCTTGTTCTCCAGATAACCCAGCTGCAACCTGTAGATTACTCATGAGGTCATTTTCTGCTTAGTTCATGTGAAGCTGGCAGAATCTGGCACAAGGAGCATCTTTATGCTGCATATAAAATGGAAAGGCAGCGGATGTGTTTGAAAAGATGAGTGTGAAGGGGCTAGCTTCAGACTGTTTTTTGGCAGCAGAGGGCAAAGTGTGGGTGTGACAGCCGCTGGAGCAGGGGCCGCAGAGCTCTGTGTGGGCAATGCCATCCCATCATGAGTTTCTAGGGGGAGCAGCATGGCATCAGTCAGCTGAGCTGCAGGTGTTTGAGCCTAAACAGATTCCTGGAGAGAAATAAGTCATTTAGTTACAACATTTGTTTTGAGTCTTCCAGATGAATGCGATCGCAGGTCAAGCTGCTGGTGTTCAGTTTCCCTGCAGAGCTTCACAGTACTTCCTAGAATAAGTGTATTCTCAAATTTGTGTGTGAAGACTGAGAATATGACTGAGGACAAAAGGGGAGAAGAGTACACAAGTACAGCCTCCTTCAGAAAGCAGTGTTTCTTTTTCCACTGGTTAAGGCCATATAATATGCATCACTGTGACAGAATAACTAAACTGAAGTGGAAAGGTATCCTGTGAGAGAACCTCATTTATTGTTTTTTCCTGTTAGTGGACATGTGAGGTAGTCCAGATGATTTCAGTGAAAGATACTTAGTGATCAACAGAACTGATATTAGGATGTGAGCCATGAACTTCCCATCTTTGCATCTCTCCTCCCTCTGACTTGCAGCTGGTCTGGGGGGGTTCTTGCTTTGAAGGCACTGTTTTTTACACACACTCACAACCTGTCAGCAGGCCAGACCCTGGCCTATTGGCCCTTTCAAGCCAATGGCACTGCACCTCTGATGTGTCCAGCAGTGCTCTAGGGACACACCACACTGCAACCCAGGGGACTGAACCTCCAGAATATCCAGTCTTTCCATGGTGCAGCAGTAAAAAACACTTCACAAAAGTGCCACAGTGAATGTTACTAATGTGAATGTACACTAATTTTTTGATCTTTTCATATGTTCAAGCACATGGCCAGTGTGCTTTATATTTATTTATATAATAGCCCTAAGACTATTTATAACACTGAGGCATGCGGCAGTAATACTCCCTGTTACATCCCTAAGCCTTCTAGGGTTTGCATGCATAGGAGTCAGGGGTGTTTTCCCAGCCTTTGCCCTTAACCCCTGAAGGGGCTGGGCAAGGAGAGCCCCATCCCTTCTAACAGCCCCTCCAGCTCAGCCAAGCTTTGGCAATCCTCCTGAGCAGCACAATCCATTGATGGGATGGTGAAGAGCAGGGTCAGAGTGCTGTCCCTTGAGACGGGGTGCCTTTCCCAACATGCTGCTACCTGTCTGCATCGCACACTGAGCAACATGTTTAGCTAGGCCAGATCTGACAACAAACAGAAAACCACGATGTGCTGGTGCATCTCGAATGCAAATTTCCAGCAACAAAGCAAGTACCCTTTATAAGCAGGTAACTCTAACCAAATATGAACACACAATGCTGCTTGTGGTCTGTATCTTGCATTTAGGAAGTATGAGAGATAGTTTAAAGAAAGCCAACCAACCGATCCTGCAGACAGTGGATGCTTTTAGCACCCAGCACACATGTGGTATTTTTGAGCAGACTGCTTGCTAATGAGTTGCTGTATTACAAGAAATGGCCCAAGCTCTGGTGGTAGCAGGAGGGGTGGAAGGATGTTTCATGTTTTGCTGTCTTAAGTCTGGACTCTGACTAACCCTGGTGTGGGTCCCTATATCCAATGCTGAGCTGGCCTCAGTTTCAGCTGGGTACATTGCAGATCTTCTTTCCAGTCCCGTGGGATGCGGAAGGGAAGAGTGCAGACTGAGTGCAACTGAGATTAGAATTTGGCCCTTAAATGGCTTTGTTAAACTGTGGGAAAGTGATAGTATTGCCAACCAGCCAAGCAGAGAATGTACTGAAAGGTCACCAGACTAAACACCTCCTCCATTTCAAAGCAGAGGAAGGCCTTTGTGTTAAAAATCCCATTCTCCTAACCAAAGTAGAAAATGGCAACCTCCCCTATTTTGGTTCTTTTCAGGTGCTTACACATCACATGTTGTGAAAATATGTAGGAAATTTTGCTCTGCTATCTATAGACTTATTTGCATTAATCCAATATGGGCATATTGAAGTTCATGACTGACCCCAGCATTTCTGTAGTTCTGGATTTTCCATCTGATGTGGTTTTGGAAAATAGTAGTAAATTGTTACCAAACTCTTGTTTCTAACCACAGCTCATGGCTATTCTCCAGGCAGAATGGCAAAAGTTATTCTGAATTTCCTCCTCCTGCTTTTTATAAAAGATTGGTTGATCCTTCTTGGTTTACCTTGCATTTGAGCTATGGTGTTGGGATAAGTCCATTCTATATATATATAATCAAGTCCTTTCACCAATCTTAACCATGGCATGTTCCAGCATAGATTAACAATGGCCACTTCAGGCACAACCCACATGTAGCAGTTGTGGGTAGAGAACAAGATGTTAAACATCTCCTACAGAGAGGATCATAGTGCTGGCTGCAGTCTCATTAAGTCTCTTGTACTCTCCCATTCTGAATTTGTCCATTTAAAGTCCCCTGAAGAGGGAGTATCAGCTTTCCACAAGAGAAGAAACATTGACTACTTACTGAGCAACAGCTGAAAGCTATCATTTTTAATCTTACCATTTCTTTTGACATTGGATGCTTACACTGGAAGACACATTTTTCACTACAAACTATTTCTATTTTGCTTTGCAGAGCAAATGAAATGATTAAAGCGGGAGCTATTCCCGGTTTACAATCACTTCTTCAAGATGGTAATAATCATTGACCTCAGGTTAGTCTCTCTATAAATTATATTTGAAATTCCATAAGTTGCAAAGAAGCACAGCCTGACTGTCCCTAAGCATATTTCCTAAGAGAGAAAGTTATGTCAGGTTTGAGCAAGACATGGGGCGCTACTTTCATTCTTAAATGCTGGTGCACTAAACTGAAATCAAATGCTTGTGTCTCATATGTGAGAAGTATAATGTTTTGCTAGTCATTAACAAGAAAAGCATTCTGGTTAATCTGAGGCTTTTCTAAAGCCTATTTTTGGCAATTGTACTATGAAAGGGGACAGCTGAAATAATAATAAAACTTTATACTTGCAGAGAACTTTCATCTGGGGATATCAAAGTAATTTATAAGCCTGGTTAAGTCTATCTTGGTATTTTTCTAGGATGCTGCTTCCCTGTGGCAATTGGTAAGCAAGTAATTTTATCCTGGTTTAGCAAAAGGGTGAACTGCGGCACAGATATGGTAAACAGCCCGTGCAGGGCTACTGCAGCAGGTCACGGGGGGTTAGCCAAAATTCATGCACACAGAGAGGGGGTATTGCATCGCCCTACTTATGATGTGTTTGGGTTACTCTCTGATTTCTGACAGTAGGGAGTTTCTCACTGCCAAGAGCCTTTCCCCCATCAGTGCTGAATATCCCAGTGCTAAGGATCTACATAGAGGCTCTTGTAGCTGCTTGCTTACCTCTTCATTTAATTTATTCTACATGGTCACTCCATAAGTCCCCTTCAGCTATTCAAGCTACTCTCTTCCCTCATATCAGAAAATCAGGCTATACAGCAGGCACTGTCCCAAGTGAGGAGCCCAGCTGGGACATGCAGCACTGAAGGGACAGACTCTCAAAGCGCCATGTTTACAGGGGAGGAAGAGATGCTTCTGCTGAAGTTCTGAAGCGTCGTCTTGTTCTTTATAAAAGCATACCATGGTATCTGGAGCACAGAAATCCTTCAGTTAGAACTGATGAAGGTCTGCCTCATGATGCAGAGTCCATTGCTGAGAAGAAATCTCAGTTCTCTGAAGCCTCTTGGCCAGTTCAATATGAGACCACTTACTACTTCTATGTTTAGGAGCACCGAGAAAACTACAGAGTCTGTCAGCTTCTTAAGAGACACATGCCTTCAAAATATAAGGAGTGGATCTAATCTGTGAGATCTTCAGGTCTGTTTCTTGAAAAAAGTTGACCCCTTGCTCCAAACAGCTCATTTCTGTCTGGAGCTGCAAGTACATCTTCTTTAACACGAAGATATCTTCAGAAGCTATAAATCAAGAAACTCTTCCTTGTTAAAGGAGGAATTCCTCATTTTTCATGGCAGAGGGGTTGTAAAAGCATGAGGATACTCCCTGTGCTAACCCCAGGGCCTCCGTGAATGGTCTGGGCTGGATCTGAAGCAGAATAAACATTGCTCTGGAGAGAGAGATCTTCTGGTTGTGCTCACTTCTGTTGCCCACGCGAAAGCTAACTGTGAAAAATTTAACTGGGAAATCTAAATCTATACTTTTGTAATAAACCTTTTGGCAGGCGCCAAAGCATAGCCCTATGGATACTTGCAAGAAGATGATGAACTCTACTTGTTTGGTTTTCAGTGTGTTGGACAGGAAGTGTCTAAAGGAATAATCAAGGGGTAAAAAGAAGAATTTTGCATCGTAGCTCGTTGTCAGTCACACAAAAGTGTTGGTTAGGTTGGTTGTTTTTTGTTGGGTTCTTTTTTTTTCCCTGAGGTTCCAATATTATTTTAAAAAGCACCCTTTTCCTGTGTGTGTTGCAGCATACAAGTCTTTAATCATAGGCATATCAGAGATATTTCACCCCATGCCATTCATTTTGTTTCAGTATCTCCCCTCTCCATATGTGGTGTCTTCTTGCTACAATTTATAGGAGAGACTTTCAGACAGGAGGCATGGTTTAGAGATATAATGTAAAGCTCTGCAAACCTGACAGAGCATAGGGATGGTTCTGGAAAACCAGCGTCTTTGCAGGATCAATGCACTGATCATTCAGGTAAGGGGGCACTGAAAATAAGCGCCTCTGAAAATCTGGATTTAGACCACATATCCCAGTTAAAAGAGATCTTGAAACAGAAAATACCTTTTGTTTAGCTGGAATGCACCATGCTGCTAATTCAAAACTCTGATAACTCTGACACTACTGCATTGATGAAAAGGCAGATCATGTTTCTATGCAGCTTCTACTCAGGCACACTCAGGGCTTTCTTTTTCCTTCTTCTTATTATTTTTATTTTGCCAGTGATTCTGTTCTATAAACATGACAAGATGTGCAGATCCCAATGTCATGAATGGATTCCAAAAACCTGAAAATAGCAGGGGGTCAAGCAGATCTACTGACAATTTTGTTCATTTGTGAACTCCAACCTCAAATACATCCAAAGCAAACGTATGTACAGAAGTCTTCAAGCCAGATATGTTGAAGGGATTCCAGTCCAGGACATTTTATTAACTTCAACACAACTGATTGCACTTTAGCTTCACACACGTTTTGATTTGTAACTGCTCAAGAAATCAACAGTGTGTGCATCTTGGATGCCTGGTTGAAATATCTTG